AAATATCATAATTACAACCTACCAAATTTATGGGTATAAATTTTAGGCAGCTTCCTTGTTCGAGGAATGTATCCGTGAATATCCACACAAAGGAACAATATCCCACTCGTCTGCAGCTGTACAAACAAACTTATTCGATGTCACGTGTCTCAGTAACAATCAAATATTTTAAAAGATATATATCGTTTCGGGATATTATAACCCGTGTTCGTTTTTCAACTGATCACTTGGATTGTTTCAGGTGTTTTACATAGGTGTCAAGTCTCAATGGTCGGCTGAGAAAGCCCACGTGACAACTATTTTCATTCCGTCCACGGTTCCTAAAAAATCCATTGAGTGATAGATAACAATGATCAATCAATCAACGTATTATCAGTTAACCCTTTGAACAAAGTATGTTGTTTTTACATCGGCACTTCACGCCATGATATGAGTGTATTCCCTTTGGTTTAGTAAACCTAGACATGTAAACACTCACTCTTGACATATCCACTGTGCAAGATAACAGTGATTAATCAATCAACGTATTTTCTGTTAATCCTTTGATGACTAGGAACGATCCGTTGATTTACAAAAAAAAGTAAATCAACTGATCATTCATCCCTTGCTGGGCTGCCACGTGCATATTACATAACACACATATCACCTCACTTCAAACCTGGATTTAGATTGAATAATTACCCCAGACACAATAAATGCCAAATGGGAACCTTTGTCAGGTAATCTAAGTGGTGCTACCACTAATTGTACCTGTAATAAATTCATTAACTGAGCATCAAGTGAATGACGACAAATACACAAGTGTAGGTTTATACGAGAAAACGTGGATGACAACAAGGGAGTAGTAATCGTATTATCGACGCAAGTCGAAATCCGAAAATGCTTTCACTGCATGGATACTTTTTTAGTGTAAACTATAACCATCTGGGGTATTTCCAAATGACGACATCCGATGAGCTCCGCTGTTCTTTTTGTCTGTTTGTTTAGGCTGAAGAAATTAATTAACATGCGCCCTTTGTCGAAATCTTTATAGATCACAGTTAACCAATCAGTGTTTATGCAAAAATGCGTAAAACAAATATTGCCTCCAGCCTCCAAGTTTATTTAGCTGTCCTTGCAGACGGTAGCCCAGTCTCTGGTCACGCTCAGTTGCGTTGCGTATCATCCGGGTACTCACGGGGAAAAAAACAATAACAAAGGCAACCACCAGTCCGGGGAATTGCGTTAGATCAGTGCCCCTTTAAGTTTTCACCTTTTGTTATCTTATTACTTTTGTTGTTCTTACATGTACATATATATATGCTCTCTGCCTCATATACGACCAATTCCAAGATATCTGCAACGAAGCTAACTTAAACGAAATAGTAAATAATGATCCAGAAAACTATTGTAAAAACCTAACAGACTATATAATAAACGCAGCCAAAACCTCCATCCCCTTCAAAACATCTCAGACAGGCAAACCGACGGTACCATGGTGGAATGAGGAAATACAACAGACTAGACGAAAACGTAAATCAGCCTTCAATAAAGCAAAACGCGACTACAAATATTTAAACATAGCCCACGAACTAAACCACCAGGTTAAAAAACTAGTCCAAATAGCCAAAAGTAGAGACTGGAAAAAATTCTGCGAAGGTATAAATAACCATACAGATGCCAGAATGGTCTGGCGCAAAATCCACACCATCAGAGGCTTAAAACGACATAAAAAAACCCCTAACATTGACAACTCAACCAGCCCCGCCCAAAAAGCAAATAATCTCGCCAACCACTTTTCGGCCGTTAGCAGTAACACCAACTTCAGTCAAAAATTCCAAGATAAACTTAAAACAAAACAAACCCACAAAAGAACCAAACAATAACAATCTAGAAATAAATCAACCCTACACAATGGAGGAGCTCCTCTACGTAATCCAAAACAGGAAAAAGGGCACAGCCCCAGGATTAGACCTAACTTCTTACCAAATAATTAAAAAACTCCCCCTAAAACTACTCCAGGCACTACTCAAACTATACAATCTCATCTACCTAAACGGACAGGTTCCTACTCCCTGGAAACAGGCCCTAGTCATACCAATCCCTAAACCTAATAAACCAGCTAATCAAGCTAACTCATATAGACCAATATCCCTAACTTCAAACTTATGTAAAGTAATGGAATCAATGGCTAAAAATAGATTACAACATTACTTAACCCAAAATAACATCATAAACCTAGATCAAAGTGGTTTCACTCCTGGCCGCTCAACCCTAGATAACCTCGCCCGACTAGAACAAGATATTAAGACAGGACAACTAAATAAACAATATACCACAGGCATCTTCTTAGACTTCTCTAAAGCTTTCGACATGGTATGGCACGATGGGCTAATACAAAAACTTAAAAAGATAGGACTCAAAGGTCAGATAATAAACTACATCCAGGACTTCCTAAACAATCGCAAAATAACCGTGGGTATAGACCAAACTCTATCGGACCAATGTCCCCTAGAAAATGGCACTCCACAGGGCAGTATCCTCAGCCCCACCCTCTTCAATATAATGATAAACGATCTATTCCAGGGCCTATCCCCTAAAGTAAACACATCAAAATTCGCGGATGATCTGGATCCGCACTAAAAGCATGAAAATGGTCAAAAATTTACTCCAAAAATCTCTTAATAAAATACAACAATGGGCTGACAAATGGGGCTTCTCCCTTAACTCAGAAAAAACAACAGGAATAGTATTCAAACATAAAAACATGAAACCCGCCTCCCCAATCCTCCAGCTAAACAATCAAACAATCAAATTTCAAAAACAAACCAAATTCTTAGGACTTATTTTCAATGAACATCTCACCTGGGATGCTCACATCCAAAACCTAACAACTAAATGCAGTAAAGACCTAAACACCCTGAGATGCCTAACTGGCTCTAACTGGGGAGCCTCCAAAGATACCCTCCTCTCTCTCTACATATCACTAATTAGATCAAAACTATACTATGGCCGCGCCATATACAACACCCTAAACAACTCTCTATCTAAAAAACTTGACTCAATACAATATCAGGCTCTCAAACTAATTACACGCACCCAACATGGCACCTCCTACACCTCACTCCAGGCCTTAACAGGAGAAATGCCACTAAGTCTACGCAGGGAACAGCTAAGCTTAAATTTCTGGGCCGCGTCCCAATCAAACCCTCTCATCCAAAACTTAATAAACCAAAACATCAGCCCCAAAAACCAAGCTCTAGCTCGTAAACACCCCTTACTTACCCCAATATCCCAAAGAATAACAAACTACCTAAATGAACACCAAATTAAAAATCTTAAACAAAACTGCAAACAATCAAATATCTTCACCCCTAAACTTAAAATACCCAAAATAGACACAACACTAGCTAGCCAAATAAATAAACAAACCGACCCAAACATAGCTAAAACTACCACACTAGCATACATACACGAAAATTGGCCAAATTGGTGTCACATTTACACGGACGGATCCTCAGATCCGATCTCCAAACACACAGGTTTCGGAGTCCATACCACACAGCCAACTAAAACCACACAATCCTTCCGACTCCCAAACAACCAATCAATATTCACGGCAGAACTAATGGGCATGGCCTCAGCCCTCCATAATCAAGAATCCAAAAAACACAAAAAAATCCTAATACTTACCGACTCCCTAAGTGGACTGCAAGCCCTCCAAAACAAAAATACCAAAAACCGACCTAAATTAATAAATCAAATACTTAAAAGCTCCAACGACCTAACTATAGCAGGCAAACAAATAACCTTCTTGTGGATACCCGCCCACGTAGGAATACACGGTAATGAAAACACCGATAAAGCAGCTAAACTATCCCTCAAAATGCAAGAAATAAGCTTAAACTTACCCATCTCAAAATCAGAAATTAAAAGTGTAAACAAGCAAAAAATCACAAAAAAATGGCATAACCTATATCTAAACTTAAATTGCCAAATCAAAAAAGTGCTCAGCAAACCACTAACCAAACCAAAAATTCTCCATCCATCAAAAAAAATCGACAGAGTAGTCACTAAACTCCAAACAGGACACACCAACCTAAATAACCATCTAAAAAAAATAAAAAAACACACTACAGGTAACTGCCCACACTGCAAACAACCAGAAACCCCAGAACACGCACTCATCCACTGCACACACTACCTAACACATCGAACCGCATTACAAACACCCTCAATCTAAACAAGGCTCTCACTCTAGAAGCAATACTAAACCCACAAAATAAACTAGAAAACTTCAAGGCCTTAGGCTTATTCTTAATAAAAACAGAACTAATAAAACGCATCTAAAAACACAATAACCTACCAAATCAAAATCACATAAACAAACAAACATCCACCATACCCAGCTCCCTTAGTTCTCCTCCCCAACCCCATCGGCATCTATTCCAAATCTCAAAATTCCCAAATTCTATATAAGCAACCCCTAAACCCCCCTCTTAGGTTGCACAGACCACTTTCACCCCTTTCGGAAACACATTAAATGGCCTGGCCGGGCCCGTGTGCGAAATACGCATCAGTCGGAAAGCGCACGTTAAATCTCCAAAGTAAGTAAGTAAGTAAGTAATATACTCCGAAATGTTGTGTTCCTCATAATAAAGAAGTTGACATCCATAAATTCTCTTCCTTAAGATCCAAAATATAAGCTCACATTGACAATTTCAAGGTGCGTTCAAACTAAAAACAGTATCACCTTAATGTGACCTTATATTTGAAAAATATTTGATTCTTTGGCCTTTTCCTGGGTAATTTCTTCGCAGTAGCTTCAGTTCCATTTTAAGATGAAGCGTTTCTTTGTTAGAAGAGGATTTTAGGGCAATATAATTTCAACAGGAGAATGCCAGGTTTTCATATTTTGCTTCAATAGGAATCAAACTTTGTCCATGTAACAAGCCAAATGATATCTGCTGAATGCCTCAGTTTCAGTCATTCCCACCCCTAAAGAACAAACACAATCTTACTCTATGTTTTCCATGTCATCCTTGGGCAGACCATCAAATAATGCAGGAACATCTTTGGACAGCATCTCATCACCAAACTGGTCATCCCTGCAAGTCAATACCATGACTTCAATTATATCTAAACAACAAAAATAAATTGCATACTTTCAGCACCAAGGTTCTTTTACTACCCTAGAACACTTTCACTCCTAATGTTTGGTGTTTGGCACACTCAGCAATATTCTAGCTATACGAGGGCTGGTCAAAAAGTTCTAAGCCTAAAAAACAAAACCAACCAACAAGTGTTTTTAATGTTATATTTTAACATAATCTCCCTGCTTTTCAATACACTTCTTGTATCGATTATGAAGCTTTTCAATTCCAGTCATGCAGGAAGAAGTTTTCTGAAGCCACCATTTACGGCAGCTTTGAGGTCATCCTTGTCATCATAGCGCTTTCCACGAAGGTATTCTTTCAGTGAGGAAACAGGTGAAAATCACATGGTGCAAGGTCTGGCGAGTATACAATATTCACTATATGTTTCACTATTGTTTTTGCCTCATATGCGGTTACCTCCAGCATACATGTGATAAATTGTCAGAAGGTGTCAGGAACAATAAGCCCTTAGCATCACGAGCAACCATTAAATTTAAATGTTAAACAGTCATAATAACCTGCCAACGTACAATGGCTTAGTACCACAAAGGTCAGTTCTCCTTATCCATACTCATTTAACATGCTTCCTGGGCTTCCTAAAGAAATATCAAGTGCATTTATCCTGATGCAACATCATTGCCCCTAATTTCATTAAGATATAGTGTTATTTCTGTCTGTGGTAGTCTGTTAATAATCTGACTACTTTGCTTCATAAATATCCCAGAAATGTCTGCATTATTCAAGTGCTTTTACGTTTATACTACTGTTGTTGACCTTTCTGATATAGATGTGTATTAATCTCATTGGTTGACTAGTAGAGTAGTGGCCAGGCTCTCAAGCAGCCGACATACCACACCCCATATAGTAGAACAAAGCAAACTCAGACTTTCCTTATGTTTTTGTACCAAACGAACTAGAAAATGATGGTTGTGGTCAAATGTTTTGGTGGCAGATACTGTTTTTAATTTTTTAATTATAGCAAATTGAGATATTAGTAAAAATAAGCCAAAATATGGTAAATATTGCTCCAATTATTGGGAAATGAACCGTAATGAATTATTAGTATTATCATTTTACGATTTTTTAAATAATTGGTAATATGTTACCCCACTCCTCATTTTGTCAAAATGTGCAATTTTTATATTCCCATTGCTAATTTCATTAATAATAGATTTACACAACACATACATGTCACCGTTTGCAAATACCTTTTCTATGTAGGATATTACTGAAGGTTTGCCTAAAATCAATGATTATTCAAACCACCTAGAAGGTACATTTGAAGGTCAATGATACTTTGAAAGTGTAGTTCTAAATTAATACATAGATAGTATTACAAAAGCTACAAATGCTCATACAACTTGCATTACTGGTTCTGGGCATGCTTGGTTAAGCCCTATCGAATATACGAAGAAACAAAAAAAAAATGTGCACTATAAGATCAAAACAGCTGCTCCCCCTCAAAATGGACAATCAGATAATACTGTGGACTCAATCTCAAGACACATAGAGGTATTAAAGGAAGAGAATTTATGGTCGTCAACTTCTTTATTATGAGGAACACAACGTTCGGGAGAAAATACTTTCTCTATGAAGCAGAGAACATATATATTTTCCTGTAAGAACAGCAAAGTAATAAGATAACAAAGGAGGAAACTTCACAAGGGAAGCCAACAGTTAATTGGTGCTGACAGGTGATTAGCAATGGACAAATGGAACAGTTAACAGTCTCCGGGGCCAATGGCAGAGGCACCAGCAGCGCAAGTCCCAACCACAGAGGATGTATATATACCAGATCCCCTGCAACTGTGGCCACCAGTACATTGAAGACACCCTCAGATCCCTCGATCAACACCAGACTCAAAGAACATCAGACCTCTGTCAACAAACTAGACCTGAAATCCGCTATTAAATCAGCACCAATTAACCATTGGCTTCCCTTTCTTATTTTCCAATTGATATCTTGTTACTTTTATTGTTCTTACAGGTGCATATATATGTTCTGTGCTTCATAGCATTAATTCTCCTGATGAAGGAGTAAGTATATACTCCGAAATGTTGTGTTCCTCTAAATAAAGAAGTCAACATCCATAAATTCTCTTCTTTATGTGTATCACTTCTAAATGTCATTCAAAGACTGCATAAAGGTACCTAAACCTCATAATGTGACATATATGAGAACATTTATATTGCTCTCAATACCCAAGGAGTGTACTATATGATTATATTTGTAATTACATACTTAAACCTCAAACTGTGTACAGTTCGGTATGACTAGTCTGTCAAATGTAGTCAAAAGTAACAACAAATGAATATGACCAAGATGTAAATGAGAAACATCTTTACTCATGGTATAAAAACAATATTGTGGCTATGTAGTCATGCTGCGTTCCAAACACACTTCTGCACACTTGTACACAGCAGACATAATTCAAAATTACTATATCGGTTTTTAGTTTCCCCAAAAAGCAGTAAATGCATTATCGTGTCACTGGATTTTCTCTGGTCTCCTTAAAGACAACCAACGCACTGAAGGCACCATACAACGCTTATGTTTATACAAATTTTGTGATTGGCAGGACATGATAACCATTCTCATCTATTTTCAGAGATCTGTTCATATAATTTTCATGGCTATTTTGCTGTTACGTCCATTAGAATCTGTATTGGCGGATATTCGAGACTGGTTGTTCTCTGGTGTTGACGTTTTATAAAAATTCAAAAAATATTTTGTGCTGTATATCTGCTTCAATACTGAATTATAAGGGTCGTGTCTATTACATGTTCTCACATTTGTAGACCGTGATAATAAGTTGTGGTATAAAAAAAGTTTTACAAAAACTTAGCTGTAAACATGCTTTGGATTTATGTCGCTAAAAGGAAAAAAGTCTTTGTATGTTTTAACTACATGTAGAGTGACATGTAGCACATGTCAGGGGCTCAATATCCCAACAGTGTGGAATCTAGTTATTGTTGTCATTCATTAGTTACCCCCTACCACTTGCGAGTCAACACAAGGTACGTTTACATACATCTACTGTCGTAACAATCGTTAGATCAAGAGTCAAGAAGAGTCAAGAAGAATCAGAAGAGATATGTCAACCGTTGTGCGATGTCAGCCGAAACACATTTAGACATTAAATACTTGATAACCTGAATATTTCATCACTTTGCTTTGATAAATACAGCAGCAAGCAAAAGTCGAGCAAAGATTGTAGAAATGTACAATGTGAACGGACATGTTTAATATCTTGCTTGGTGTTGATGTTGTTATATTGTAAGCATCCCAGAGCAAGATACACCAAATACCAAAACTGTTTAAATGGTTAGAGGGTTCATGTGCTCAAATAAAACAATTTGGTGGACAAGAATGTTTGTGGAGTCATTGTAATTTTTTAAATATGCTATTATATATTTGTGTTTTTTGTTTTAACAGGATGGGTGAGGTGAGGTGAAATTGGGTTTAACGTCGCGTCCAAGATTATTGCACTTATATAGCGACGTGCATGCACGTGTATGTGTGTGTGTGGCTGCTTGTACTAGTCCGGACTGATGCCGATTTATAGTGCTAGCTCACTGAGATACCATGCCGCAGTTTAACATGAATACCCCACTCAGACACAGTATACTGACTCCGAGCCGACCAGTCCTTGTTTTAGCCCCTTAATGCCGAGCGCCAGACAGGGTAACAACAAGTACAATCTTTTAACGTCTTTTTGTATGACGCGGCCCGGGATCGAACCCTGGACCTTCCGCTCTCCGGGCGGACGCTCTACCACAAGACCATGGAGGCGGTCTTAACAGGATGGGGATGGGATCACATTTATTAAACTTTCATACATTATATTATACCTATATTAATTGTGGAATTTTTCATAAGCTCCTAAAGTATTCAGGCAGATTTTGAGATATCAGCCGACATGATTGTCAATATAGAGGTTACATTATCTTCAGTTTTGTAATAATTTGAAAATGAAAATTGAGGAATTTTTTCCTGGTTTTGACACTTAACTCAACTTAAACCATTTTGCTACTTGTTTATTTGTTCTATTTTAGGTTTCCTAAGTCAGCACACTGATTTTGTTTATACAATGAGCATTGCAATATGCAAACTGACTTGTTTATAGCCATTTATTTGATTTACTTAATTTTGTCATACAAGTGTGCATTTTACCACCAAAAGAAATCACGACGACCATAATTTTCTGATACATAAATGACATCTTGTGAAGAAAAATGGGGTTGTGCTTTGTTCAACTGTGGGGAGGGATTACTCCTTAAATAAGCCTCTTTTTAAGGGTTTGCTGCTACTCTATAATACCAGTGATTTCAAATTTCCCGATTGCCAGTCTGGGATGCCAGCTCACTATTAGACAATCACATGATACATTATCACGAAATTTGATGTTCGAGGTGTTGTTACTTCTGTGCAGATAAGTCACAATGTCAGCTAAAAGGCAAATTAACATGAGGTATACTTAAATTTTGACTTTCAAATGTATACTTACCACCTGGCCACCCAAACAGCAGAGAGGGTAGGGGTGTTGCTGAGAGAGGTGAGACCCTGGGATGGGAACTTCTTCCATCCCATGACGCCACGCACAATATCCTGTTAGATATACAAGCATAATCAAGAGACAGACTAAAAGCAGTTTTTGACAATATTAACCTGATAAATTTCACTCATTCAATCTGAAAATGCAGTACTTTGGGGACACATAATATATTTGAACATTCTCTGAAAGTAAATCAAAACTCTACTTGGGAATTTTCTTAAAAAAACATTCTTGGAATGGCATAGCTGTAAAGACATCGTAGCTTTATGAGATCAGTTGTAGAAAACATAAAAGTGTTTTCAAGTTCTTCACCACCATTTCTAAAAGGCCCCAGGCCATAAGGTCAAGGTATCAACTTACACACCTTGGCACCACATTTAAATCCAATTCATGCAGACAATCAGGAGATTACTAGCTGACAATGTATGTACTAACATACAGATATATTCTAATACTAAGCCCCCTAAAGGAACAATGAGGAAACTAAACGCATTTCCACTCTGATATCATCACTTCCAGTTGCAGACACCGTTTCTGATGTGAGAAACACAATCTTAAACAAGAAAGGCCTTTTCCTCATGTTAAATTTTGCTGCAAGGCAAAATGCCTAATTACCGACGACCTTTCCTTTCAATCGTTAAGTCTTGGTAATCTCCGTGTTTCGGATTTCCCATAAGCACAATATAAACGCAGTGCACGTACAGTCAGCACTTTACACTCCAAATCATTTTGACAAAATTGTTTGACAGGCAGTTTGTTAACCCCCTCCCCCTCCAGACTACCTACGTATTCTCGGACGAGTACGAATATAATTCCAATGTGAGTCCTTGACGTTCTGTTTTGAAACATAAACTTTGTTGGCAATATTTTATTATTCCAACTTGTGACATGGCCCCCGAAGTGTATTGTGAGGTGAAAACGGTTCAAATGCGAAAGTCTTCTTGAAGTTTGTCGAAGATAAATTACTCTCTGACTCGAAAGGTCAACGCTTTATTGAGATGGACGGCTTACAAGTCCATTACAAGAGAAGCACCTGACTAGATCCAAAAGAAAACAACGTCTCTAAGCTGAAATATAGAAGCTATGTTCTTCAGTAGACAGTTTAAAGTTCAGGAAACTGGCTAGTGTGAGACCTGTAGCGTTATCACCATTTAGGGTAAAACCCAGTCATTATCAGAGTTAGCTCCCCTACGTAAATGTATACGTATTATGTCATTGAGTGCCATCATGGATTACCATACGTGTACTTGAATGGATTGTATGCTGGCTGTCGCATGTACTCCAGTCAATATATATAACATGTTCAAAAGAACTCCAGTATTAGTGATGACATAATACAACATGACCCAGGGTCCCAAGGGAGACAGTTTGCACTGGAGAGGTCAACCCAGACACAGAATTTCAACACGTCAACCTCGCCCAACTTAGGGATCTGGAGGACTTGGACTCAAAGGTCACCACACAGATGAAGTCTGAGGGACTTGAGGTTTCAGACAGCGACTCTGCCGGCAGTGCATCGGAAATCAGACACAGCAGTGTTTCCAGAGGTAGGCAGTCAGGTATTAATGGCAGATCTGCTAAGTCAACCATACCGCCGCAGATATGGCCTAACACCGTCCTAAAGCTCGAGTATGCTGCTTGGGTGGTCAGGTTTAGGACTTTGACTTTAGACTGCTGGTGGCAGGAGAAACAGAAATTATTAACGGCGATTCTTCAACTCCTGCTGAAGAGCGTGGACGCTTAGACTTGTTACAAATTAGCTTATCACAGAGATAAGTACGAATGGTCGCCATTCTTGATGTTTACACAGCATGGCTCCGCAAGATAGAATTGGGTAAAATATTGTGGTCTGATCAATCAAGCGTTTTAGAAACCCTGCTGTTGGCTAGATTTGTTATTAGGAAGCAACATAGGGACAGTCTTAAATCGGCAAATGCTGGTTCTCTGGGTAGAAACTTTCTTAGCATTCCTGATCCACCAACTAACTCTAATGTAGTTTGGTACTCCTTACTTTATCAATGAAATAAATGTTCTCAGCATGCCACTCACACTGCTACCATCAGAGTCCAACTTAGACTCTTAAAGGTCATATGTGCTACTTGATACCAAATGGATAGAGCCCAAAATAAACACTCCAAATGCTCTTTGATATGCCCACATCAGTCTAAACATCCTGGGAGAAAAGATAAGACTTTGTGACCATATAATGAAGCACCCCTACCCCTGCAAGTAGAGGAAATAGGGCAGGGTAGGTCATGTCTATCAGTGGCCGCTGTGTCTGGTTGTCCATCAATAGCCTTCTTCATAGCCCAGCATCAGTAGTGGCATTACAAAGAAAGATAAAATCTTAATATTGATTATCTTGTCCTACGGTTAAAAGATTTTACTTTGACCGGGTGCCAACCATGGGCCTACGATCTGCTGCCTTTATTTGCCAGAGAGTGACTAATGCTGTGAAGCATATTTTGCAGAGTGAAGGGGTGAGTGCAGTTAACTATCTAGATGAGTTCGGGGGAGCAGATACCCTGGAGAAGGCATGAAACAGCTTTACCAAGCTTGGACAGGTTTTGAAGGAATGTGGGCTCAAGGAAGCTGAGGCTGAGTCTTGTCCACCATCTTCAAGAATGTTATTTTTAGGCATTTTGTTAGACACAAATCATCTTTCTCTTGAAATAGATGAGGCCAGACTTATAGCATACAAACAACTCTTCAGCAGCTGGCTCGATAAAAGAAGAGCAACTATCAAGGGATTTCAATCCCTGATAGGTAAAATTCAATTTCTATCATCATGTGTTTGGCCCAGTAGAGCTTTTCTTTCCAGAATTATGGCCTTGCTCTGTGGGTTACCAAGTGAGAAAGGGAGACTATTCCATGTGATTGAAGAAGTAAAACTTGATGTAAAATGGTGGCTGGTATTTCTTCCTCGGTTCAAGGGAGTGTCCAAGATGGTGATGGAAGAGTCGTCGGAGCCTGATGACGTAGTCGCATCAGATGCATGCTTGGAAGGTTGTGGTGGAATTTCAGGGAACAAATGTTTACATGCCAAATTTCCTCCCTTTATTTCAGAGAAAGAGCTACACATCAATGCTCTGAAGAAGCTGTCCTTGATGGTGTGTCTCAAACTCTGGGGTCATACATAGGAGGGTAAACCGATTGTTGTTCTCTGTGACAATCTGGTGTCAGTCACAATATTGAACTTACGTGAACTTTGTACAATTGCAGCTATTTAGGAATTCGAAGTCCGGGAAAAACATATCCTAGGAGAAGACAATCGTCTTCCAGACCTGCTTTCAAGGTGAAAGGGCAAAGCTTCCAAAGACAATTTTGGCACAGAACAGAAGATAGACATTTCTCCCTCTGCAATCCTGATGACTGCTTATTCTCCTTTGAGCACGAGTGGTAACATAATTTCAGTTTGTTGCAGGTTCGCATCTAAACACACCTCACAAGAAACTAAGCCTTTGCACGAGGCACCTGCAGAAGTGGAGAAGATTTATGTTATTTTGTACCTATTTCCAGTTCCAATTTTGTCCAGTCACAAAAGACACTATGTGTATGGATGCACAATTATTGTCCAGGTCCTTTAAGACCACCAAATCCATTAAGAATTACCTCAACAGAGTTAAACTTAAGTATTTACTTTAAGATACTCCAATACATCTTTGGGACAACTTAGAGCTCAAGCTGGCTCTCAAGGGAATGGTCACTCTTAAGCCCCATTTACCACAACACGCCTACAGATGCTGCGTATTGGTATTTGTTTTTGTTTTCCTTTTTTCTGATGGCTCGTAAATCAAATTTAGTTCCTCAATCAGCCAGTGGGCGCGGTCATACTTCAAAGTTCCTGAAAAGAGAAGTTGTTCGTAAGCATGACCATGTGATTCTCTTCTCCATTAAATGGTCTAAAACAATTTAGTTTGGAGAAAGAAAACACACAATTCCTTTGCTTAAAGCCCCAGGATCCCCCCTGTGCTCTGTTAGAGCTTTTCGTTACATGTGTTGCTTATGTCCCACCCAACCAGAAACCCCAGTTTTTGTTATTCCAGGCCCAAATGGCACGCAGCATATCACCTACCCTATGTTGCATTACAAAAAGCCTTGATTGCTGCCACAGGTCTGAACCCAGAAAGCTTTTCTTCCAATAGTTTTACCACAGAGGCAGGGCCACATGGACCTTTAGATCCAAGGTTTAAGATGAGCTGATCCAGCTCCATGGTGACTGGCTCAGCGATGTGTATTAAGTTTATATACAATACAATTTTCAGGTCAAAGCCCGGATCTGTGCCGCCATGCTGAGCAATATCCCCTCCCGTTAGGATGCTAAGATTGGCTGGTATGGTTTTTCATCATGAGTTTTTTTTTGAGGATATCTGTGTCCAGGCCTGCTGACCCTATCACTATTTGGCCTATTTTCCTTTTGTCTCCCTATTGCTTTCAAAGTAATTCACAACATGTGCTCATCATATTGTCCCCTTGTGGTGTTTAGGGTTAAGCATATTTTTGGGTTGAAAATTTTACAAAAACCTACACAGCAATAAAAATGTTGGGGCTCCTTGCTTTTCTTACCACTTCATTTTAACTTTTTAATAGTTTGTCCCAAAATGTCAGTCAAAACCTGGTGTGACCACCATTAGTATTGATCACTGCCACACATCTCCTGTACACTGAGTGGATCAGACGATTTGTGAAGGCCCTAGGGCTCCTCCTGCACACATCCAGAGCAGCTGTGCGTAGTTCAACGGCAGTTGTAGGGACTGGGCGCACATTGTGCAGACACCTTTGAACCTCATCCCACAAGTGTTCGATGGGGTTCAGATCAGGACTGAGGGCTGGCAACGGTAGAACACGGATGTTGTGTTGTTGCAGAAAGGCCATGGTAGCTCTGGCAACATGGGGACGAGCGTTGTCCTGCTGGAAAATGTGTTGTCGATGTTGTGCAAAAAATGGAACAACGTGGGGTCTGATCACTTGGTCGATATACCGCTGAGCAGTGACGCCGTGTCCCCGACCTTGAAAAAAGTTTATATATAAACTATATAGTTTTGTTGTGGCTTGGTGAGGAGGGTAATTAAATGATCATTCCAGTGACCTTGACCTTCCATAAAGGTCACCAAAAACTTTACCACTTCAATGCGCCACCCTAAGGAGGATATGTATCAACTTTCATCCTACTAATGTAAACACTGTTTGAGTTTAAATGAAGTTCATAATACATTCTTGAGGTGTATGACATTGAGAGTGAATTTGACAATCATTATTAGTTGCATGTGACAAGGTCCAGATTGAGAGACTGTCCCATTGTATTTTTATGGCATTTGTATGTTAACGTTTAATTCCCTTGGGTTTTAAGTTACCTTGTAGAAGGTAACTAAATAACCACTTTGACCTTTATTGCTCATAAAACATGTGCTTAAAGAGCAAACAGTGCACCTTGTAATGATAATATTACTCTTGTTAGTTTAAATGCTAATCTGTAACATCAGATTAGACACTTATGTTGCATTTCCTCTGTGAGAATAATTCCATAACTTCGCGAGTATGTCTGCATCTGTGTCCCCGATGCAACATCAAAGCCTGGAGTTGCCTTGAGAAACAAATTGGTTATGTAAGAGGTGGTTATGGCCTTTAACATATCTAGACTGGTGTTGTGGAGACTTATACCTGTGTAGATTTAATTAACACTTGGTGTATTTAGATCAGTTTGGTTGTATATTGATACCAGAGTCTATTTTGAGGGAGTGGGCACTTGGCGATTTTAATCAAAATGAAAAGAAATCTCAATTGAAAAGGTCAACTTCACTTTTGCTTCTAAAAGAGGTCATAAAGAAAATAAATATTGATCAAACTGAACAATTCAGAACAAGGCTCTCTGAAACTCTAAGCATTCAATGTACTTTATAAAGTAATTGCATGTGATCAACTGATCAATATATCAGAGCTTAACTACTGTCAGCAACATTGCCGAATATTTAAAAGCCCTTATTTTCAGGGAATCCATATTTTCCTCATTGTAAGACAAAAGATGAGCCGTTAAAAAATATATTACATTTTAAAAAGTGAAAAGGAATCACACACATGAGAAATTTCTTGAAATCCAGTCGCAATGTAGATCTACCTAGTTTCATCCATTGTGAGTACGAGCAATTCTTAGAAAAGGTTTTAATCGACATCTTCAATATTCAATGTCGTTCTTGCAATGATAGATCAATAACACATATTATGTTGTTATTATTATGTCATATTAATATGTTACATCTCTTGCTGACATGATCATTGTCAGAATAAAATCGAAAAAATCATCGCCCACAGAATCAATTACAATTTCAGATTAAGACTTAAACATTTGATGTTACACACCGGCAGCAATCAAACAAAAAATAAAAATCATAGGAGTGAAGCCGACCATGACTGCTACCCAGAGAAATCAACAGTAAACAGGTGACTATGATAAAATAATTATTTATTTCATTAATTTTGAATTTGGAGGTAATTTGAATCTAATCCGTAATTTTCCCGATGTTGTTTACCAACTTTTTCATATTTTTGCCTTGATGTGTGCAATGCCATGCTTATGGTTTCAGCAATGATGGCTAAAATTGCAAGTGTTATGATTATTTTTCATGATCTGTATCATTTTGCTATTGATTTCTTTTATTGGTATGTAAATGAGACCAGATTTTTCATATGATTACATATTTTCAATTATTAGAAGTGTTTGTTCAACTTTACAAATCGCCAGTTAAGCCACACCCTCAAGTGTCACCTACGCCTGTCAACATCATGTCAATGTCCGAAAGTTTATCTAACAAACACATTTACAAACTCAAGAAATATAAGATACTTTTTACAAAGATTTATACATCTATCAAAATATCTATGAAGTGTCTGTTTCATCCAATTGATGATGATGTAACCAGATTGTTTTTGCATATAATCAATTGAACCAAAAGTTGCATAATTTTAGAAATTTCACAAATGGTAGTGTTTTCTTTTCACAAAGAAAACATAAAGAAAATACTGGACTGCATGTCACTCAGTGTTGAGTGCCTCAAGTAGACAATGGTTGTAACTGTACCAAGGAATTTGAGCAATACTTTGTTAACTTGCAGACCTTTCTCTTTGAGATACATAAACTACTGAAAGTTTTGATGTTTAGAAAGCAGATGACATAAGTTAAATGATATATGTAAAACCTTCTTGGTAAAAAGTTAATGCTGTATTTATTTTGGGGTCGTTGTTATGTTATTTGCCTGTCAAATCTGTTCGACTGCAGGGGCACAGACAGTAACACATTCTGTCAAGTTGCTTTGGGAGCCTGAAATAACCTGCTTTACTTGAATGAATGGTGAATAACCCCAAATAACAACAGTGAAAAAAGCTTACAATTCTACTCGCCATTGGTTTATGGAACTGACCCAAGCTAGTAGGATTGTGAGCCCTTTCAAAACAATTACACATCAGTAGGGAATAATGATTATAGCTAAAATGCCCCCCAAACTCTCCCCTACAAACATCTCCATTGAAGACCACATGACTTCAAGTGGGAACAAGTAGGCTGACCTCTCTGTTCAGATAGCGTCTCTGCGTGGAGGCGTGGGGGTTGGTGGCATGGTCATTCCGGACATAGCGAGGGAGGGGACACAGGTGGAAGTCCGGGTCAACCTCGGCATATGGGATGGGGGCCTGGAAAACCTGTAACCCTGGGGCCGGATTCTAAAACATAAACAACATTTGCATAGAAATAACCAGTAGTGCATACAGATATGAAGTATATGCTAAAATAACTGAGCCTGGACAAGACAAAACTGTCATGGAATAATGATCCCATAAAGCCAGCTTATACATTGAAACCTACCAATTTCTATCTTAAATGACTCATACAACAAGCATTGGAAACAGAGGGCTTAAAACTTTGCTGGATGTGGCAAACATTATTTGGTTATTCATTTTAGAAAATATTATCATGCAACTTTGAATCACATAAACTAGCTGTCATGGATACGATCACAATTTTCAGTATTTCTTTATAATTACAATTTACTGGTAATATTTTAGCTTTTGGGACAGAAAAAGATTGTAACTTCTCCAAGATCATTACTCACAAATATATGAAGAGGAGGATACTCAATGGGTTTGAACAGAGCTTCAGGGGGAGATAATGTTTGTTTTGTGGTCCTCTCCATGACCTCGTTACTGGAGTCGGCAACATCTACCGGTGCCATGTCGTCTTCTGGTATCTCCTCCAGATAGGAACACTCCAGGTCTACACTGGCAGCCAATTTGATTACCTCATCCTGAAACATTGTCAACCTCATCAATCATCATATGCTTTTGACAATGTTGTTAAACAGCCCAGTCTTTATTATTATGATTTATAATAATAATATTCTTTATGATTTAAAGGCGATTTACAGTAAACTATAAATATGGGATTAAATCATATTAACACAAGTATCTTGAATGAAAAAATTTGAAAGGCATTCCGGGAAACTACAGAGAGTTAATGAGCAGTGTTGTCATCACGTGATGTGTAGAGAGTTGACATGCAGACGATCACTGTTTCTGTATAGTGTTTGGTAGATTACTAGCGTTTGCCATGGCATCACCTGACAATGCCATAAATGAAAATGTTGAACTTTAGCTCATTGACCCCACACATATTTGTCCATATCAGTATCAGCCAATGGTTAGTCAAAATAGTCATGACAGCAGCGAGGAATGCGAGGAAAGCCAAACGAGTGAAGACGATCAGTCTGACGCCAACACAGACAGACGAGGGAACACAATCTGGTATTAAACGCTATCCTGACAATTTGAAATAAAATAGATGTTTGTCAATAAAAAAGAATTCATGAGACAGTTATTCTGGTGCCAGATTAGATTGATGCTTCGTATAAACATTTTTAATTGTGTTGTCTGTGTGCCAAACAATTAGCATAGGGCTATACAAACTAAATTTGTTTTCTCTACAAATGAATGTTATGTGTTAAAATTGTAAATTTTACTGTAAATTTTACATTTATAAATATATCACTCTATGCATTCCTCCTTCTTCTTTCGATCCCTGCATGGAAACGCCCTTGAACAAAGTTTCCAGATTTTAAGCTTCATTTGCCCAAACACACTGAGCATTACCATGGCGACCACCTTGCTAATTAGGCCATACACCCAAATCTCTCATGCAGCTTGCCTTATGTGTGCTGATCACTTGACCCATACTGCCTCATCATTGTCTTCTTGGAGCTGACAGGCTGTGTAACTGTGATGCAGGGTTGGATGGGCAGGCACAGTTCGTGAGATAGGATAAGTGTTTATAAATATACAATTTACTGTAAAATTTACAAAGTTTTAAAACTTATCCTTATTCACGCTATGCATTTATCCCACAGTTAGGACAGTGGGTGGCAAATACCCCAGCCTGTCAAATTCTATACATAAGGATTGAGGTAGGGTAACCTATTCCACTACGACTTTAAAGCAATCTGGAAGGGGGCTCCATGCAATTAGCTCTTCAAACAAAATCACCTTATGTTCGTATTGGCGAAGACCTCAATTGTTTGGCACAATCATTTAAGACTATGTCAAAACTATCTATCCCACTGCGGCATAGATTTCATTAAGACACGATGAGGAACGATCGACAATATCCATAAGAGGATCCTCTACTGGGACATCACATGCTCATGGCAGAGGTGAGCAGGTAAAGGTTTGGGACAGCACCGAAACGGCCTCACCTTTCGGTGATTTCGTAGTGAAAGACTAATGTCTCTACAGATGAGTTATTTGCCTCTCCATTGAAGCCTCAATCTGGGACCCTGATTTAGTATAAGAAACAAATAAGGCTCTCAATTACGAAATACTCGAAATACTCGGAAACCATCTGGGAGATGGGGATGAACAATTTCTTCAGGGATCGTCGAAAGGTCGATGAAGCCTGCAGGTAGATGTGCAAGGCTCAAACTGGACACAGCGAGATGTCCTTGATATCCTCAGGATGTAGAATAGAAGCAACAGACGGGATGGTAAATAGCCTGTCCGGTTGCCCTGGGAGTAGGTTCTTGGCGATGAAATCCGATCGCAGACCTGAATGGACTTTTCCATGGTTGTGCCCCTCAAATTGAATCCTGTTAACATCCAAGGCATGTATCTCGCTGACCCTCACAGCAGTAGCCAAAGCTAAGAGGAAGCCTGTTTTGAGAGTAAGCTGCTCGAAGTCTTTCTCTTCTAGTGGTTCGTATTCTGCTGACATCAAGTGCCGGAGGATGCAGTTCAGGTCCCATTTGGTTGGACGAAATCTCGAAGACTGATCGGCAAGTTAATAAGAGCGTAAAAGAGCTATGACATTGTTTACTCCCGAAATGATGTCCAGAGTGTTGATCAGGTGAAAGAAGTCCATCGTCAGTGATGGTAGGGAGGCTGATTTGGTAGATCACATTTTGTTGATGTACCACACAACTGAGGCGTTGTCCTACTGTATCATAAGTCGAGTTGATTATAGTACCTCTGCCCAATGAGAGATTGCTAGAATGACCACCTTGAATTCGAGGCTGTTGATGTGGAGGTTTGATTCTTTTATTGAAGTCTGATGATTCTGCAGGTGTGCTCCCAAACCCACTGTCGTTGCATCCAGGAACAAGAGAAGCGTTGGTAGAAAGGGTTCCAGGGGAACTCCAGAGCAAACATTCATCTTGGATAGTCACCATTGCAGATGTGTGTACAGGCACAATGGGAGGCGAATCAGGACTCGACACTCATCAATCTGGAGATAGGGTTTGAGAAAACACTGAATTGGCGGTAATTGAAGTCGACCTCTCTCGGTGAGAGCTTGAGCCAACCTTAGGAGGCCGAGCAGCAGCTGCCATTGTCGAAGATGTAGACTCTCAGTGCCGGCGTCAGGAGTCTTTGTATCTTCTTCCACCTGTCTGGCTGACTGAACAAGATCTGTGTCAAAAAGGGCTCCAATGAATTACAGTTGTCGAGAGGGTGTTGTTTCCAACTTTTCTACATTTACTAGCCAATCTAGTTGGTGAAGGCGAGATGCTTGAGTAGAACATTCCGGTCGGCTTGAGCCTGGATGCAGTCTTTTATGAATGACTCGAAGATGATTGCTCTGATGTGTAGAAACTTGTGATGGGCTTCGTAAGGCGGGTAAAAAGCCATGGGGCTGAAGAAATTCCAAATTGGAGCACTTTCCACTGGTAGTGACGACCTTGGAAAATGAACCGGAGGTATTGGCAGTGCTCTTGATGGATGGGTACGTGTAGGTAGGCGTCTTGTTAATCCAGGCTGACCATGTGGTCCCCTTGTCGAACAATGGTGCAAAGGAGCACGACAGACGTCATGCGAAAATGAGCCAGTTTCTCATGTTGAAATTCATGCAAAATTTCTTGCTGTCTTTTTTCACAACCAAAAATATTGGGGAGTAGAACCCCAGAGTTCTGGGACAGGATCCTCAACACTCTAGAGCATTCTTGGATATCAAGGTACCTATGGTGTCCTGTGGTAAAGTAAGTTGCCTGGTCGGATACACCCTCTGGAGTGGCGTGAACGATGTCGCCGGGGATCCCGTGAGTGGCAGCCTGTATCCTTCCCTCAGGATCTGGGATACATAGGGATCATTCAGTAATGTCTGATTGGCTGCATATAGACCTAGTTTTCCGCCTACTGGTACAGCTGGGGGAGAAAGTTCCCAGTCGTCCTGGAGATGGAATCACTTGGAGGAGGGATCGCCTGCCTTGGGCGTTGAAGGTAACCTGGTCCTCTGCCAGGTTGCGGAGGTCTAGATGGGATGGGTTGAACTGAGGATGTTCGCGATCTTTCCTCTGTTGCCCTTCAAAAGTGTTGTCAATGGAGTTTAAGTAGTACACCGACACTTGAAGAAGAGCCTCTTTGGTGACCTCCTGAGCCACCTCCTGAATCTCATTGTGGAATAGGTAGGGCAATGACCAGGGCATCTGGTAGAGTCTGACCTTGTAGTGTTCATTCAATGGACAATACTTCAAAAGACCTGATGGTGAGTGAAAAGGGCCATGACGTCCTGGAATATAGTTTGTGTTAAGTGAACTATCCTTCTGACGTAAGCTTCTTCTGAAGTCTTGGCCTGTTGTATTGACATGCCTATAGCCTCCGTGGCCGATAAGATAGTAGATAATAAGGGTAGAGTCCTTCTGACGGTGGCATCTTAGTGCATAAGATCTCTATCTTCAATAATAGATGTAGTAGAGGAGCGCTTAGGAGCGATGGAAGAGATATTCCCGTCCAGTTCTGGGGAGGAGGCCATGGCTGCATCCACGATCCAGGGAAGAATCATTGAAGGTTCAACCTGGCTGTGACTTGTCTGGCGCTTGGTCTGGATGCGTGTCACTCGGGACTCAGAATGTGAATGAGAAGAAAGTCGACTCACCTCCACCCTGCGAGGTCAATGGGGAGATAGATTATGTCTATAGTGATCCCGCATCAAAGAGTATTGAGGGTAGGGTTGATATCTGTGGTCTTCATGTCCATCCGGAGCAGGATACGGGTAGCATTGCGTAGGCTGGTATCGATGAGCTGTTGATGGATCCGATTCCATTCGCTTTCCCTCCAATGTGAGTCAGTCGAGTAAGATTGTCCCTGATGTCAATGCTGTTCTGTAGAACTTGAATGACTATGTTTATCATCAAAGGATTGATCCAAAGATCTGAAGAGTCTGAGGTATAAATCTTGTTGACCGAGGGTTATCTGCTTGGAAGGTTGGTCCATTGTTGGCAACATTGTAGTCCTTTCTCGAGACGATCTAGGTTGAGGGCAGTGATCAGAATGTCGACCCTTGGAATCTCGACCCTTTGAATGTCGACTCCTGGATGCTGTGTCGGAACCCTTGGTAGTAGTACGATCAGTAGAATGTTGGACTAGAATTGGCTCAATCTTTAGAGTGATGGTGTGATGTTGACCTCTCCTGAGATAGTTGACCCTCCTAGTGCGACACTAAATGTCGACCTGTAGAATGTCAACCCTTAAAGAGTTGACCTTGAGAGTACGATATCGACCCTTCACACGAATGTCAACCTGTAGAATGTTGTCCAATAAAGGGTCGATCTAGAGAGTTTGATATTGACCCTTCACGTGAATGTAGACCCTTGGAGAGCGACTCTGTCGAATGTCTACTTCGGGAGTGACGTCGATCGTGCGTAGTAGATCGCAATAGCTTACAACTCCTATCATGTCTGGATGACAAAGTAGATATAGTATTCAAGGTCAATGCGACATTCGTTGCGGTGGTTACAACCAGGGTAGACTTATCCCTGCGTCTTGA